CAACATAGAGGCACCACAAGGAAGAGGCAGAAAGAAGTTGGGAGGGAAAAGAGTGAAGAAAAGATGAAGAAAAAAAGAGAGACAAGGGAAGCAGGACATAGCTGACATTACTGGTACTCTAGATCCAGCTACACCTAACTTTGATTATCTTTATCTTTTTCAATCTGTATGAACTGACACTTTTATCCAAAAAATAGTTGTGACTAAACACAGGAACTTTCAGTGAAATCAAAAGAAGAAAGTTATAATAAGGTAAATAGAATCAAGAGAAGAGGGCCAGGTACAGGTTGAGCATCCCTAATCTGAACATCCAAAATTAGACAAGTTCTGTAATCCAAAACACTGAACATTAAACTGATATTCAAAAAGTTCCCAGACTGAGACCTTTCAGATTTTGAAATTTCAGACTGGGGATTTTTAACTGGTAAAAACCTATGCAAGTATTCCAGAATCCAAAACACTTCAGATCCAAAGCATTTGGGAATATTCAACCTCTATAAACAAAATACAGCTGGTGTGGAAACCATCTGGATTCTTGCAATCTTCCTCTTCAGCACCCTGCCTCTGAGCAGCTATCACCCAATGAATAAAGCAATGCTGCAGAGGTATCAGCATGAAGGTAATACCTGGAAAAAAAAACTACCACCAGCTGTCACATGGTGAGCTACATAGGTTTAGTTTTACCAGTCCACAGCACAGTAAATTAAATTTCCTGAAAACTCATGGGGGCAAGACACCTATCTAAAATACAGGAATCGGAATGAAGTGCCTCTCTGTAGATAAAAGTGCTTCATGGGGGGAAAGAAGGGGAAAGGTGGAAGACTCACGAATAATAACAGCTACTTCCCAGCTTGCTTTTCCATGCGCCAGCATTCTGAGAATCCTCACAAAACTGTCACAAGTCCTGCCACCAGTAGTTTAGAGCCCATGTGACACATAGCAAAGTGACACAGAGAAGTATGAAGCCACCAGCTAGAAGTGGCAGAGTAAGAATCTTAGAGTATGTGGTCAACAGTCTCTGCTTCTGAATGTCAGATGGAGAAGATGAGTGTTACTGGTCCCCCACTGGTATGCAGTTTAGATTTTAGATCATGGAGCGAGTGCGCCACACATACGAAAGTGAGGTTTCACACGTAATGAGAATGCCAGCTCATGAATAATGATGGCAATTATTCTTTTTATTTTTTGTGTACATATAAAAATATATTTTACTTAATATGAAGAAAAATTGTAAGCAGTGGCTTAACATCTAAAACCATAGCATTTACTGCTATTTTACCTTCTACAAGTTTCTGAAAATCTATTTTTACCTGTCACTTCAAGAATGACATACACTGTCTCCTTCTGCTCACAATTTGTTCTTAAATCCATGAAGATTCATCATGATGAATTAGTGGCAATCATTTCTATAAACAAGAGACTGACAGTTTACCACAAAACCTCTCCCAGGGACTTACACTTTTGTCAGCAAAGTCCTGCAGTTGAAGTCATGTAGATAAACTTGGGAAATCAGGATGGATCAAAACACATGGGTTAGAGGTCCCTTTGGCTCAGAGCCTTCACACATTGTGCCATTCATTTTTAAAAATACACAATTCTCAAATTCTATTCTATGAGGTGAATGAATCTTCTTACACTTCTAAGGGAATTACAAAAGCAACATGTAATTATTCGTATTTTGGGGGGTCTTGAGAAATAGAATAATGACAAACTCACTGCATCTTTCAGAGACAGTGCAATATTAAATTATGCTATTCAAATATCAAGACGAACAAAGCCAAATTTTCAGCTAAAAATTTAAAAACCATTACATTTTCTTATATTGCCAGAGAGAGCTGTGCCACACAAATGTTTTTAAAAGCCACTTGTCAAAAGTACATCCTGTCCACATGCTCTTACTCAGTAACCATTAGCTTGTAGGGCTCTCTCCTCAAGGGATCGTTTGAGATAGCTAACAATCTAGGTAGAACACTCTGAGGCAACATTTACTATGGCTGGAAAACAGACACCATGAGAAAAAGGACAAAAATCAGTGTAATAGAGTGATGAGATTAAAGCGAAGTTCACAAGGAGCTGGTAATGAGATGGAAAAATTATACTAAAATACATAAAAAAGTTATTACACAGAAAACACAGTCCGTGAATTAAAAGAAGTTTGGGATTTAATTATCAAAAGTCCAGAGAAATACAGGAACACAGTAATATAAGTATTAAATACCACAATAAGAAAGCAGTTAAAGAACAGGAGGACTACTTCAGATACTCAGCAGCGATCTGGTTTTGGTGATGGATGGGCTGCACTTCACATCTTTATCTGAGAAACCTGAAGCATTCAACATTAATAGTTATCATACCGGAGAGGAACAGAAGCCAAACCAGGAAGAGAAAGGGCTTGTAGGGACCAGAAGGGACACCACTCAGGGCCCAGCGGTGCCTAGACAGCTTACTGTAAAGCATGACGACAATTTCTTCCTGAACTGATTCTCTGGCATTCTCCAAAGTGAGGGTTTATGAAACAAAAGGACTCAGAATTCTTTCTCAGATTTTCCAATTTCTACACTCCTAGCCCATTCAGGCCAATCATCCATCCACAATTACCTTGGGAATCCCACCAAAGCCATATGCTGAGTCAGAAATGAAAGAACTCCCTGATATACAGAGAAATAGGTTAATGATCTCATGAATCTCTCTCTCTCTCTCTCTCTCTCTCTCTCTCTCTCTCTCTCTCACACACACACACACACACACACACTTAAATATGCACAGATATTAATTAGGGTATGTGTCTGGCAGAAAGTGGAGGGGATAGGTAGGTAGATCCTCTCTGGCTGACTAGCCCTAGAACTAGGACAGGGTTCAAAACCTATTTTCCCATTTTTTTTATAGACTGAATCATACTTCCCCACATACCACAAACTCCACTAGCTGAGGGGGGGGGAGAGGGAGAGAGAGATTTCCCATGAGAGATGGCAGAGGGGATGCGCCTTGTGTAGAGTCCACCCTGCCCAACCCATCACGCAGGGCCCTCACCCTAACAAGTCTTCTTAGTCTAGGGCTCTGCATGAGTCATGCTTTAAAAACTGGTGCCCTATGTGAGCTACAACAGAGTACACATTTTGTGACTATTTATTAAAAATTACAGTGGTACCTCAGTTTGTGAACTTAATTCTTTCCATGAATTCTGGTCACAAACCAAGTTGGATGAGAACCAAATCAAATTTAATGGTTAGGTTCAATGTTGACCTTAGGGGGAAATTGGATTCAGTTCTCATCCAGCCCAGTTTGCAATCAGAATAGAGGAGAGAATTAAGATTGTGCACCGCGGCACCACTCTACTGGCAAAATTAACCCGTGCTGTTAGAAGTGGAATATGGTCCCCTTTCACAAGGGATGGTGCCAGAAAGGTGGCGGGAGGGCAGCAGGGGTGGTAATGCTGTGCTCACAGATGCAGGTGCTGGTACATTGCAAGTGTCCTGCAGGTGAAGAGGCAATGGGCTATAGAACTGTACACAATTCTTCCTTCTCAGACATAAAATTATTCAGAAACTGTTCAGCGCTCCGGAATTTATCTAGCAAGTTGGTAGCTCAATAAATATATAATCAGCAATCTGTATTATTCCTTCCCAATTTATCACTGATCAAAAGCACCTCCAAGCAGTGTTATGAAACAACTTTCTGGTCAGCATCTCTACACGTGTGGATGGGCAGCACCATATGCACAAACGGTTCCCCAAGTTCAGGATGGCACAGAAGGGATACACTCAGCAGAAACCCCGCTTCCCCTGGGAGCCTCATTCCACACCAGCAACACAGGCAGAGTCAGTGCCCATTATGGAGCAGCAGTGCAACACCCAGCTCTCAACAAGAAGGGCCAGCCCAGCACAGACAGCACACCGTGAGGTAAACTCACACGCTGAGGCGGTCAGGGGCACCAAATACATACTCTACTTCAACATCTTCAGCTTACACTCGGCTTATGGGGGCTTCGCCCTTCTGAGCCCAGGAATACTGCACACCTCCGGGCCTGGTCTGGCTTGGTGCCAGTAGGTGACAAGCATGGATCAGGCTGCAGCAGCTGCAACCTCTCAGAACTCACTTCCTCCTCTGTAAATCAGGCTCCCCAGGACCCCACCTCTGCGCAGACTGTGGAAAACAGGTGATACAATGCACACAAACTAACCCTGTACATGGCCTTTAGTACATGGCCAATGATTTGTGTTTACAGCAATGATGATGAAAACTTCTCCTAAAAGAGGACTTTACAGTATCATTTCACAAAAATACAGAATTCACAGAGAAAAATACTCTGTGAAAAATTTTCGTTTAGAGTAATTCAAATAAAATATGTATAAAAACACAGTATAGCCTGGCTTCTTGCCAGATGACTGCAGTCTCTGGATTCAAAACAAATATATTATGCACAGTGAAAAAAAAAATATGGACTTTGGAGTGACCTCCTACAAATCACTACACTCTCTGAACCATAGTCTCCTCACCCAGAAAATGGGAACAGTAATAATAATGAAATTGTAGGTACTATTCGCAAAAGGTATTAATACTGCCCTGCACGTTCTAAGATTAATTTCAAGCAGATGGGCTAAGCGAAGTCATCAAAAGGTTTTTACTCAAAGCAGGAAAAATTTATGAGAAAAATTTCCATCCTCTGTATTTCATTTTTCCTCTTTTCTCTGTAGCATTCTCACAGCTTGCTTTCTGTGCTAACCCTATCTACTCCCGATGTACAGGGGAGTATTAACTGAGGCCTGAGGGTCCAACAGCCAGGACATCACTGTCTGCCCTCAGGGCAACCCAGCTAGAGGAAAGAAGGACCCTCCTCCTGAAAGGGAACAAAAATGTTGCTGGACTGCGGGTTTGGTTTTTTGTTTTGGGGGTGTTTTGTTTTGTTTAACCACGAAAAGGAAAATGTTCAGAAATAGCTTAGCTCCCTTCATTCCCTACTTTCAACTAAGATAAGAGTGACATCTGAGAAGAAGGCTTACCTATTTGCACCATTTCTTCATTACCAGCCTGGAAAGGAGAGGGGAAGTAAGAAAAAGAAACAGTTACTGGGTTTCATCTTATCACCGCCTGCGTTTTACTCTTACCGCTAATGCTTTCCAGGAGCACACTAATCTGCAGCCGCCCAGAGCTGGGATAGGTGCCTGGGGCTGCACCTTGGTCGACAGAGTGTTCTCACGACAGGACCCAGAGCCAGTTCAAAAACAGTTTGGGGAAGGGAGTCCTTTGCCAGTTTTAATTTTAATTTAGTATTTGAAATGCTAACACTCAGTGGTCTGTTCTGAGGACTCCCGTCCTGGGTCGAGATTAGAGCAGTCTCCGAATTTAAACAGGCGGAAAGGAGCCTTAAAACGGGGCCGGGATCTCGAGGATCTGCTGGACTTCCCCACTCTTGCCCTCGGTCACCCGGAGAAACCTTGCGCTGGGCCCGCGCCCGCGACCTGCTGCCCGCCGAGGATCCTCGCGGGCCCCGGTCCGGTTCAGAGGGCTCCCGTCCTGGGTCGAGATTAGAGCAGTCTCCGAATTTAAACAGGCGGAAAGGAGCCTTAAAACGGGGCCGGGATCTCGAGGATCTGCTGGACTTCCCCACTCTTGCCCTCGGTCACCCGGAGAAACCTTGCGCTGGGCCCGCGCCCGCGACCTGCTGCCCGCCGAGGATCCTCGCGGGCCCCGGTCCGGTTCAGAGGGGGG